ACTCTGCTGCCAGGGGCTCGTGTGCTGGCGGTCCAGCTCTGCCCTGCCGGGAGCTGCGGAGGAAGGATGCTCCTCACCCCCTCTCCTGCCGCCCCGAATTCCCCAGGGCTAAGACCTTGCTAGGGTTAAGATGGGGAGGATCTGGCTCCCATCTTTTACAGGAGTCACTTTTGCTCCGTCTTGGGGACCAGTTCACCCCAAAACCCTCTCCACCTCCCGTGACCCTTTTTCTACCTTGCACCATGTTTTCGGGTGCAGCAAAAGCAAGCCATGATGTCCCTGCCTGCTGTGGCAATGCTGCCTGCATCCCATTCCCACCCACGCCACCATCCCCCTCAGCAAAACCCTACTGCCATCCTCCTCACAGCCCAAAATGTCCATCCCCATCTCACCAGATGCTGTGACGTCTGCATGTCCATCTCCCAGTCCAGGCTTTGCGCTTGTGTACATCCTGTTTTCCGTTCCCCTTTTCGCAAGCACTCGCCCACCGTGATGGGGTCGCTTAGGTTGTTTTTTGTCTTGTCTTGCAGTTGTATCAACCAGGCAGAGCATCTGGAGGTAGAAGGGCCCAGCCAGCAGAGCATCAATTGCCTTGCAAGTGTAACTGTATAAATAAACCATATTATATATATATATATTTTTTTTACTGCTTCATATCGTGAATGGATGTGGACAGCCAGACAGAGTATTTTTACAGACTGCAAAATAAAACCAGAGACCGACGACACAAAGCAACCCTCTTCCCCTGTGGATGGAAGCAACCCCCTTCTATTTTTTTAAAGTGCTTTCTGTATTCAACAGAAAACAGCAGCGCTCCCATTCCGCGTAGCCTCCTCAAAAGACTCATCGTGCATTCAGAAAAGTCCTTGCTCCTTTGACTAGGGGAGCTAAGCTGCAGTGGAGACCTGCCTTGGAGGCTCGCCTGGATGGAGCAAGTTAACGGGTTTTACAGCATCTCGCTGCAGCAAGCGGGGCCATGACAAACAGCCTCTTCACTGGCTGCAGGGGAGGTACAAGAACAGCTTTAAGACAAATTTCTGCCCCCCTCTTTTTTATTATTATAAGAAACCTGTAGTAGAAACCCCCCTTCCACGGTGCCACGGACCAGGCTTCAAGGGAGCAGGGAACACACAGCGGGGGCTTGTTTTTCTTAAATCTACTTAATTTTTCAACTTGTTTTTAAAATAAAAAATCACAGAATGAGCCCTTCCCCAGTGGTGGTGCAGGTGGGGAGCAGGACTGAAACACTCTTGGTGACATTTCACTGATTTTTTTGGTTTGGTTGTTTTTTTGTTTTTTTTTTTTTGACCTTTAGTCTTCATGCCAGTAGTTACTCTCAGTTTTTGTTCATCTGTCCCAGTGGGTCACCTTGTATTTTAATTGCGAAACCAAAGCGGTTTGGGGAGCGGATGGGTTTGTCCAGGAGGTCCCCGAGCCCGTTTTCAATGCGTCATATGCAAAAAATGTGATTCGGGCACAGTGTTTGCTGTAAAACCCCGCTTTCCCTGTACGAATGTAATCCTTTGTGCCGCGGTTTCAATTTTCAATAAATCTTTGGGAAAGGATTTGAGCAAAGCGAGCGTGAGCGTGCTGTTGTGGCCGAGGGCAAGCCATCCCTGCCGGCTCCTGGTCCAGTGCCTGACGGGCACATCCGAGCGGTTTGCGCACCCAGCAGCCGCCTCTTTCATTTCCAAGCCATCTCTTTCCATTTGCTGAATTAAAGCTGTAAGTATTTTATGACCGAATGCATCTTATGCACACGCTGCTCTTTTTTTTTTATTTTTTTATTTTTTTATATCACAAAGTGTTTTACAACCAGCGGATGAAGCTTGTCCCCGGTGAGAGGGCGGCCGTCTCTGGGATGAAACATGGCAGCATTTTAATAATGCACAGCAGCAGCTTGGAGCACTTTAGAACAGGAGGTGAAGGGGATGGCACTCGGCTGCAGATAGGAGCAGGTAAGGGGGAAACTTCCCATTCACCTTCAAGCCCCTCCGTCTGCACCTGGATGAGCGCAGGCGAGAACGTCAGCTCTTGCTCTCCATCAGCATCTCCTCTGAGGCTCTGCTGGGCTCTGGTCCCTGGGGACATGTCCCTCTCAAAGCCAATTTTCGAGGTGCCACTGCAGCTCAGCAGGTTCGTCAAGTGATATTGAAGGATTAAAGTTTGCTTTGTTGGGAGAGTGCTGGTGCAGCTGTGTCTCTAGTTACAACTGGAGAGCTGCCGCAGTGGGGAGATGCAATTTCTGAGTTGTCTTTTTTGAATCAGGGGGTTGTTTTGGTTTTTTCCCCCCTCCTTAAATCACGTATCTCAGGGAAAATGAGTTAAAAATACACTTGCTCCATGCAGCCACATCAAGGAGTTTCTCCCCTGCTTGCTTGATTTTTTGGCTTCTTGTGCTCATTTTTTGGACTCTCTTGCTTTTAAAATGAGACTCCACCTTGCTAAGAAGAGAACTGGAGGGTGGTGGAGGTGTAAAGAGCATTTCAGTGCTGCTTGGGGGAAAAACATCCAAAAAGCAGGTTCAGAAAAACCGCTTGCCTTGGACATGGCCAGATTTTGGGATGTTAATGTGAAGTCCTCTGCATGCCCTAAAAAAACTGACCTCTGCTGGGTTAAAAACTGGATTTTTTGGTTTTGGGGGTACATCTGTAGCTTTGCCTTCTGCAAAATAAATGGGAATCAAGAGAAAAGGGTCATCGCTTACGGCACCTCCCACCGGGAAAAATGGGGCAGAAAATTAATTTGAATCTCTGATTTTGCATGGGATTTTTGCCCTGTGCTTCTACTTATATATTACTTGATTATCACTTTTGCGGGTTATTTCTGTTCAGCCATGATCTGACAGGCCAAACCAGCACCAATCTTTCAGGAGGGGTGGGGAAATAAGGGTTTAAAACAACACGTCACAGCAGTTTTGGGCCCTGCAGCTGATGCCTCTTGGCTGGGATGCAGGATTTGGAACTGCTGCGTGGGATGGGGGACAGTGTAACTCGGCCATGTCCCCCACGAAGATCTGAGAATCACATGTGGGGTTAGGGAGAGCACCATGGCTGAGGGCTAACTCTTTTTTCAGCTCGAGGCTGTGGCATTTTGCAGATTTTTTTCATTTTATGTCCTATAAACCATCACCAGCTGCTGCAAAGGCAGCGGTGTTTCATAAGGTAATAAATTACTTTGATTAACGCCTCTCCCCCTGCTGTGGTGCACGCTGCAGTGGGGGGAGAGGCATTAATCAAACTCATCTATTACCTTAGGAAACTTCCCACCCGTGGGTGACCTATATTCCTCTTGGCACAGGGGGCGTGCAATGGCATGGCGAGCGTGCGGGTCCCCGCGCGTTATTTAACCGAGTGAGGCTCGATACGCACTCTGGCTCCCCCGCCTTTCCGCTTTTATCTCCTCCAAAGGCTGTGTCAATAATACATTTCTGCCATTGAATATTTTATTGATGGTTTGACTTTTTTGCTGCTCGCAATTCCCATTTCAAGGCTGCATGATTGTTCCTAATTAAAATTTTATGCCCCGGGAGAAGCCTTCTTGCTACAGTGGAGATGATGCTGTCCTTTTCTAGGCCACTACAGAGCAGTAGGAAGGAATTACTCATTGTTATGAGATTAAAACAAAGCAAATAAATTATTGTTTTTTCCCTTAAAAAAACAAACCAAAAGCCCAGTGTACGGCGCGTACTGGAGAGGGAACAACTGGCTCGTGGGCGAGGCAGGGATCCAAGCGTACCGGATGGCTCGAGGATGCTGTGGCTGGGTGAGCGGGGAGTCGTGTCCCCATGTCCCTCAGGCGCTGCGGGGCAGCTTCTTCCTTCCCTGCGGCAGGTGGGAACAGGCTTCAGGGCTTCTCCCTCCTCGGATGCTTCTCACCACCAGCTCCAGTGCCACCCAAAAATCACGAAGCAGAGGATATACCTGTTTTTCACTGGCGAACAGTCCCAGCATCTTTTCTTTTTTTTTTTTTTTTTTTTTTTAATGAAATAAATCTGCAAGCTACCTGCAGGCTCTGTCAGCACGAGGCACTGTTCAAGAGCGTAATTCAGCCACCTCCAGCCTCCCTGGGGCTCTTCTACTCTCTGCACTACCCAATTTTTTTTTTTTTAATATTGCATAAGAAAAATGGCTCCCAGCTCCTCAGCCATCTACCCTGGACTGTGTCAGCCTGTTAGGCCAGGCATCCTCTGCAGATGGTAGTCAGGGCACCAGCACTGCCCCAGGTCAATACGGTTTCTCAAGGGCAGCACAGCTGCAGGCACTTGAAACACCCCCAATTTGCAGTTGTGGATTTGTACGAGTTCCTCAGTGTTTGGGTTTGTTCTTCCCCCCCCCCCCCGTGCTAGAAGCATTTGTGCTGCCTCCCAGCCCCTGGATTTGGCAAGCAGCTTTTAAAGCACATGCTTCAGCACCAGTTACATAAGGAAAGGTGTGAATGACTGGAGGAGAAGATGGCTGTTGGTTTTGCTCCCCAAGTGGTGTACAGATGCTCTGCTGCTTGCTCCTGGGTGCACAGCTCATACAAGGGTAGTTCACTGCAGATGAAGAAGAGAAACTATTTGAACTGGCATGCGTGTCTGTGCAGGGAGCGTTGTCTGCTCTGCCTATGATGATTTTCTTTTCTCTGTCTCAGGGTAAAGACTGAGCGCATTCTACCTTGCCCTGGAAAAAAAACAATATCATAAAGCACTAGAGGAGGCCGGGAAATTTTCTTGTTTATGGATGAGCAAGTTTCTCTCCCAACGGAACGTCCTGCCAGCAGAATTTGTTAGGATGCATTATGTAAGTCCCTGCTTGCATTTAACTAACTGACTTCCTCTTAAACAATTTATGTACTCCTTCTATTCCCCACAGGCCAGCTTGCTCCTTTGGCGAGGCGCACCACATAGGACCTGCCACTGGCACACATTATAGACAGAACACGATAGGCGCTTCCTAGCGCAGTGCTTGAAGCATTAGGCCTGCTCGTTTCTCTCTGCGAAGCGCTGAAACGAGAACAAAATCTTTGAGGAGCACGGAGTCACTTCAGCTTAACAGGCTTGAAATTCAGCATCTTCCCCTCCCATAACGCACACCCCTGCCTCTCCCCAAAAATCTTACAGCATCAGTTCTGAGCAAGAACTTTTAGCACCCAACTACTCGTTACCAGGCTAAGTATCACCTTACGAATCTGTTTATTAGCTACTGAAAAACATGAAATTAAGGGGCATCTTAGACCCGGTGTACTTTCTCATTGCGCGGGAGCACTCTGGGGCTCTTGGGCTAGGGCAGGGGTGAAGGCACCGATGCTGGGGTTTCCGCTTGAGGGACAACCAGATCGGACCCTTCTGCTCTCCTTTTCAAGCCATCTTCACTGGCTAGAGAGGCAAAATAAGAGATGCACATCAGACATGTCACTGAGAAGGCACAGCCTTCCTCTTCAGCTGGTCAGGCACCCTGGATTACAGTAATAAGCACCCAAACACTGGTTTTGCCCTATTTATTGAAGACTTCAGGTGACAGCACAGCAGGTTAGTTTTGAATCATACCACAAGAATGTTAAAAACAGGAATTGAGCTGT